GGGGGGGGGGGGGGGGGGGTAGACGACAGGTGACCGTCTCCATTCAAGAGAGTCCTAGTGTCCGTGACCATTACCTCAGAGGCTAGTCGGGTGAGTAACTGAGAGTAAGGACACACTTCATACCACGGGCTTTTTCAACCGAATTTGGCTCTAACATCAGTCACATACATAGATCTCCGAAATTCGTATTTGGAGTCTGGCCCAAGTTTCGCGACGGGTCATACTTTGAATTTCAAACCAAAACGGTCGTCGCAGAGTCTTTTCTTTTTTTTTCCTTTTTGGAATAACGTCGGGGCTAGATCCCACTTAAGGAGGGTGACCTAGGCTGCGGTGTAGCCCTACCTGCCAAATCTGTTTCTTTGCAGGGGTATCTCAGCAATTACCTCCCATCACAATCACGTGTTCAATCACACATCGGTTCAAAAAAGCAATTGTAATTTTATTATTATTATTATTATTTTTTTTTTTTTTTTTTTTTTTTTTCAAGCTGTATTCTTCTCTCAAGTGTGAGGTGAAAGGACAATGTTCAGGGACGCTGGACCCGGTTTCCAGCAGGTGCTGGGGCGTGGTCCCACTAGCAAAGAGGATCGGATCTAATGCCTGAATCTGGACGTGTTTGTGGAGAGGTGCGGGAAATAGAGATTGAACTGCTTTTCTGCATCTCTGCATAAAACACGTCCACATTCAGGCATTCGATCCGATCCTCTTGGCTAATGGGACCTGGGCCGTGCTCCCCACCCACCAATAGATGGACCTACACACAAGTCGCGCCTGCTCCTATCCGCACCTCTACCCTCTTCCCCCGAACATAACGCACCCTAAAAGTGAATGTATACCAGTTATATTTCCCGCCAGATACAGCCAAAATGAGGGTGCGCTCTGTTCGGGGGAAGACCGTAGCATTGTGACGAACCACTTTCTGTAACGCGCGACTTTCTGCGTGGTTGCAATGAGGGGTCCTAAGTTGGGAAGGTTGGGCCAATTACGGGAGATCGGGATCGGTGGGAAATTGCATCAGTGTCCTTGCTTTTTCGTCTTTTTCGTCGCTTCTTTTCGAAAGGCTGGGTTCGGAGCTGGGCGTGTCCTGGGACGGCTAGTTGATTGATTGGTTGACCGGATGGCTGGCGCGCGACCGCGCGCGCGATTGAAAAATGTTGACGTCGTTTCTTTTGTTTCGGTTCCAAACTTTTGAGCGCGGACATCGCGCGGGAATTTGTTTCGTTCTTTTTGAATTTTTCTTTTAAATCTTTTTCGGATCTTGTCGAGCCTCGATGGCTCTCGGAATTTCAGACTTTTTGGAGTTTGTGCTTTTTGCTTCTTCGCATTAGATAGGACTTCAGGAATTTTGTAATTAGGATTTTCCTTGCCGCGCGGCGCTTTTCGTTTACGCGCTTCTTCATGCGGCTGCAACGAAACTCTGATTAGTAGGCGCCTTTAATCGTGTGTGTTAACTGTAATTTTGGGCGGGCGCCATTGTAACTGTGTCTTTCTTCTTGCACTTCGTCTTTCCCGCCCTTCTTCTCTTTCTTTTGCTGCGTTTTTGGTAGCCGCGATCTGCATGATCGGACCGATGCGTTGAGAGCGGCTACGTCCCCCACGCCGCGATCAGACCATGCAGAGGTAGGCAATCCCTCCCTCTTCCCTTCTTCTAATCCCGTGTTCTTCATGCATGCATGCACGCTATAAATTCCGGCTGCGCGATTAGTTAGCTCTCTTAACCCGCTGTTGGAAACTCGGAATTGCGCGATCAAGAAGGGTCGGCACACGAGCGAAGTAAGAGGTGAGTAGAGCAGGAGTCGGGCGACCTGACGAGCTGGTGCCAAACGCGCGGGGTTGACGCGGGCCACGACGGACTACGGGCGCGGGCGAACCTGACGGGTGCGCGAGGACTAAGCGGGGTGACGGCTTCGTGGGTTGGTGTGCGACGACGGACTGTCCGCATCGGAGAAGAAGAGAGAGAGGAAGAGAGAGTTGAGGTTGATGGACGCGGAGTTGCTGTTTTCTTTATCTTTTCTCCCTCCTGTCTCGTGTATATATATATATATATATATATATATATATATATATATATATATATATATATATATATATTCGCCCGTTTTTGTTTTCCCTTCTGTTCATCGGAATGTGGGCTTGGGTTTTTGCTCACACTTGTCCTTGCCCTCGAGGCACTGAGTGAATGATGGCTGAATAAATGGATGGATGAATGTCATGATTGATTGTTTGTCTTCCTACCGGATCTTTGTCTTTGCTTTTGCTTGTCGCATTAGATGTACCCGTGTATAGAATAGGAATTTTGCGCAATTGATAACTTTGTCCTTGTCTTTGCTGGTCCTTTGATCGAGCTGTTGTGACCGTTGCATCTTGCATGCTCAGAATATCACAGAGTGATTATACAATCGGATGCCGGGCTGGGCGAACGCCGCACGAGGACACGTGTAAAACACGATTTGAGTTGCGCGCTTACACGTATCCCCGGGTGTCGACTCGTTAGGGCCATCGATCGCAGATGCCCTACCTAATTTGGAACGGCCTTCCCGGAATCCGCAGCGGCACAATCGTCCGCACGAGCACGCGTAAGTCCGACGCCGTTCGTGTGGCCTGCACGTGCTCGCACGCGGCGACCGCGATCACCACGGACCCGCCCTGAGGCAACTCATAATACCGCAATGACACAATGACGCGATCCTAGAATTCCGACTCATCATACAACCCAGATTACTTCACCCCTTGGATAAACGAAATCCTGAGGCAGAGATACCCCTGCCACACTGAGAATCGACTGTGTCTTCGGGAATTCCACTGCGCCACCTCTAGTGACCCCCGGTGCTTCGATTTCCCTTCTCCGGACCATACCAATTACTTCATCCACCCCGGATTTGTCGTCATCACCACCAGTTTCCCTCCCTTTCGCCTTCTTCTTCCGTATCATCAACTCAGCGTCGTTCCGTGGCCGGCCATAGCCCCCTACTGGCCTAGCACACCTTGCGAGAACTGCCGACGACGCGGCGATCAGAGAACCCCGGAGTTCCGGAGGCCTAACCCGAACGCGCGCCGGCCAGCGCCACGGGGCAACCCCCGACAGACGAGCTCATCGGAATCCCACCTACCCCGAAGGGACCCGCCCGCGAACCGTCGTCCCCGAAACCAGTGGCTCGCTCGGTCTTGAGCGACCCGCGCATCCCATCTGCCCTGCAACCTGAAGACGCCCTCTCCGCCAAATTGCACTCGTGCCCCCGAAAGACCCTGTCACAAGAGATCTTAGCTCCGACCTGGGACTCCACTTTCCCAAAAATCCTTGGCACACCCCTTTTCGCACTTCCAGGCCCCCATCCTACTCCGATCGGGAAGTCGCGCTGGGCGTGAGGTTGGGCGTCACAACATCAGTTCTGGTTGCTCTCACGAAGGACAAAAACAAAGAAAAGAGGAGCACCCCCCCTTAGTGGGGATCAGCCATGAAGGCTTCACCTATTGGTGGGGAGCAGCCCCTTGCTGGACAACGGGTCCAGCGTCCCTTTAGGACACATAGGGTCTCGCCGCACGACACACGAAACGAAAACGAAACGAGTGCATCCGCCCACCAAAGGTGGCAAAATACACTCGTTACTATTTATAACAAACCGATGAACCTGGCCATTTCCTGGGGGAGGATACATTCGTTTCGTTTTCCGTTTCGTGTGCCGTGGGGCAACGCCCATAAGGACCTCAGAGTTCGTATATGGTAACAGAAAACAAACAGTTGTTGTCTACTGTCTACCCAATAGTCAGTTGTTGTGTACCCTATAGCTATTGTCTATATTCTTTTTGTAACTGGTAGCAAAAGAGTGTGTGCCAGCCATATTCAGGGGCGGACGGAGCTGACCCACATTACGGCGGCAGAGACTTCTCTCTGCTGTCTCTCTGCCACTGCTACGGTTACAGTCAACACTAGCTTTTAGCATGCGCGATGACCAAACAGATCTGGCAATGGTGGGATGCTCTCCGGCACACACTAACGGGCACAGTGTTCCACTGGGATGTCGGGCTCATTCTGCTGGGACTCCAGAGGGCCCAGGCAGCATCCTGGACGTTGTTCCAAAGTAACGTCTTCAAGTACATGAGACTGGTTGTGCTCATGGGTATATGGAGAATGAGGTGCTCTGCAGAAAGGCAAGATTCCGCCTTTGGATTCCACCAGGCAAAAGCAGAACTAGTGGAAGTGCTTAGGGCAAACATCCTAAAAGCGAGCCAAAAACTGATTGAAGAAATGGCTGGCATGCCCAACAGGGAGATGAGAGAACAGGTTGTCAAGTCCTTTAGGCAATGTTGGTTAGACCCCCAATGCAGGTTGGCTGAGATCCAAGAACATGGGAAAATACGGCGGAAGAATTGGGCGGCATAGGTCACACGCATCCCAGAGGATGCAATCCCGGTGTGTTCATTATTTGCGAACGATCTCACAATAATGGCAGAGGCTACACAACGTAACATGGAAGAAATTCAACAGATGATGGAAACATTCGCTGAGGTATCCGACATGACAGTTAACTGGGGGTCCAAGACACAAGGATGATGCATCCACCACCAAGGGGGATGCCCTCCGGAATCACCACGCATAGCATGGATGCCACTAGAAACTCCGATAAGAATCCTAGGGGTATCCATGACTACAGAAGGACGTCCACCAATCAACGACGAGTGGATTAGTGCCCCGGCTTAGCACAAACTAAATAATTGGAGAAACAAACACACATTCCTATTTGGTCGAGCCTTATCACTCAACAACGTCATTTTTGCAACATTATGGTACAAGTCTTTGTTGTGGCCTTTGAGCAAAACGACTCTGAGGAGTCTAAAGAAAAAGGTAGCGACCTTCCTATGGAGGGGGGATGGGGAACAAACCAATGTAATAAGTCGAGTAGCTTGGGACTCGATCATCCAGCCAAAGACTAGGGGTGGTTTGGGAATACTTGACCCGACCACGCAAGTGCAGGCACTTCAAGTAAAGTGAATTAAAAAGCTCATCTTCGCTCCCCAAAGTCTGTGGTGTGTCCTAGCTTTGGAACATTGGCTCAATTGGCTCCGACATCCCCCCAAGCGACCCATCCGCTAACCTAGCTGGAGGACCGCTTTTGGGCAATTCCACGTAAGCTCTTACATAG